TTTTGCAGTACCACTTGCAGTTTCCTACAGGGACTGTTATTTATCTTCCAGCCATAAAATAATTAAATTATACTGCTTTCCACTTGTGAAGGAGCTGAATACCGAGTATTGTAACAATCCTCACATGGCTTGTATCTTTGGGAGACTCTGGGTCAAACATTAAGATAATATATTACTAAAATGACTTTTAGTTTTATTGTTTGTTTGAATACTCAAACAAAACAGTTTCAAATGTTTTGGTTCAATGTCAGTGCAGTGAACAGCATTCATACACCTGGGCTCTGCTGCACTTGTTCTCACATTTGTGGAGTGAAACAGTGACCATTTTATTCACTGGAATCCAACAGGTAGCAGTGAGCAGTGTCCAAGCAGCTGCTGTCCAGTGCACATCTCCTTGTGTAGCCCATCTGCAGCACACTTCTGTATCCATGTATTCACAATATGGCCTCGTGTTATATGAATGATTTGCTCTTTCACTGATGGATTTTGTGCTGTATTGGATAGAAGTGTTCTAATGTAATGAATGCTGCTGATCAGTGAGCTCTGCAAGACTGTCTAGGACAGAATCCCACTTACATGTTTGGGAAAGTGAGGGAGAATAAATCTGGATGGGTATGGGTGGAGAGTTATAGGGGTTGTGTGACTGTCTCTTTTGTCCCTGACAGTGTTCTGGTACCACAGACATACCTCTAACTTCAAAAACTCCCCTAGTGTCCGGCTAACAAACACATTTAATTTTGCTTCAGTTCTATCAGAAAGCAAGAAGGAGTTATCACAAATGCTGTCATCACAATTGTAAATACAACTTGGAGAAGGAAGCAGCTAAGTCACTAATTCCTTCTGAATTCAGCCTGGTGATGCAGAGAGAAAAGTGTGTGGCCAAGAAGAAAAACACTGTGTACATCAAAACACACATGAAAAAATTATCTTGAGAATGGGAAATGCTGAAGATAAAGAGAAAAAACCCAAGAGAATAGAAGAAACGAAAATAAACAGCCACGGCCAGACTCAGATACTCTCCCATTAGAGATGACTTTACCAACATGTATTACCTCACTGTAAAGGCACGTAAGCAGGTGGGATTCAGGGTCAGTCCAAATGAAGCCAATTGTTTTATCTATATTAAAATACAGAAGTGAATAGTTGTTTATGGTACCTGAATTAGTAATTGCAAGGGGCTGATTCCAACATGTCTAATGGATTTGGCCATGGAAATCCAACTGACCTTCAGTAGCACCTATGCACCTACATTCCTGGGGCGCTCTGGAAAATCTGTGTGCATGTACTGGGCTCCAGGGAAAAGTCCACTGTTATTATTATAATGTGACTGTGATTTTGAGACCCTGCAATGTACTCAGCTTTATACAAATTTACACAGTAGTATTTGTCAGGTCAGGGTTGCTGACATTGAAGTGGAAAGCTCAAATTGGTGTGAATTACTGAGACTTAACATTGTACTTTGAATTATGACTTTTTATGTTTACATGAGATTGTCCTTTGAGTCACATCTGGTTTTTGTGCTGTTTACAAACTGCTCTAAAAAGCTGAGCTGAGAATATTTGCAGTTAGTTCAGCATGTCGAACAGAGAAATAGAATTTAGCTCTATTCTTAAACCATGATTATTTATGTAGCAGGCATGTTGGCCAACAAAAAGAATGAAAGCTGACGGGCATGAAAATAGCCAGTCTGCTCATACATGAGATTTGCATGCAGTGATCCCAGCAGGAGCTTAAAGAGGACTGTGTAAATTGTGAAACACAAGGGTGTATGGTTAATATATGCAAGAATGACCATTTGTGGGGCTACTGAGTGCTACAATTCCCACTTGGTAATGAGGCTGTGTAAAGAAGAGCAGAAATCACAGACTGGGTAGGGTTGGAAGGAACCACAGTGGGGCATCTGGTCCAACCTCCCTGCTTAGCAGGGTCATCCAGGAGCACATTGCATAGGATTGTGTCCAGATAGTTCTTGAATATGTCCAGTGAGGGAGACTCCACAGCCCCTCTGGGCAACCAGAGTGCATGGTTCTAGTGCATGGTTCCTTGCACAAAAGAGTTCTTCCTCATATTGAGGTGGAACCTCCTGTGCACCTCTTTCTGCCCGTTGCCTCTTGTCCTATTGCCCAGCATCACTGAACAGAGCCTGGCTTCATCCTTTTTGCACCCTCCCTTCAAATACTTACAGACATTGATGAGATCCACTCTCAGTCACCTCTTCTCGAGTTTACAGGCCCAGCTTCCTCAGCCTTTCCTTGTAAGAGAGATGCTTCTGTCAAGTAGTCATTTTTGTAACCTTCACTGGATCTGCTTCAGGACTTCCATGTCTCACTTGTATTGAGAAGCCCAGAACTGGACACAGAACTCCAAGTGTGGCCTCACCAGGGCTGAGGAGAGGGGCAGGATCACCTCCTCCTCCTTGCTGGCAATGCTCTTCCTGGGCATTCCTGGGCTCTGGAAAAATAAAGAAAGAGCTTAGAAAGCTACAGGAGCACGTATGCTCATGTTCTGGGAGCACATGGCTGCTGGTACTGAGTGTGGGCTGGTACATCAAGTTACCAGTTTAACCTAAAAATGCAGATTAAATATAAGAAGACATGCAGCTCAAACAGACACTCAAATTAATGGAAGATTACATTTAAAATGACTTACCGTTGGGAAATTAAGTAATCAGGAGTGTGAATGCATTTGTATTGTGAGAGTCACAGGCCTTGATCTGATTCCTGCAGACATATCCATTGGCATGTATGCTATGAAAACTATTACTTGATCACATATAATGGTTTTCCAAAGGGTGCCTACACTGGTTATTGAATGGCATGGACAGAGACTGCTGGATGAGACAGATGATCAATAATTACTTTTAACCATTTTTTCTTAAGAAATGAGTATTTTGGTTTTTTTCTGCTGGCCAGTCCTCTCTTTAATGACTTTAAATCTATTGGACCATCTAATCTAAATTTGATGTGGGGAAGGGGGAAATAGTGTATGTCCTCTGAATCTTGCTAGCTTGGCTCATCCAGCATATGAGGCATCAGAGAATCACTCTCTCAAAATGAAGCAGGCTCACTTAATACTGCATTTCACTGTCTATTTGTCACTCTTGCTGCTCCTCATATGCAGTCCCACCAGCAGGTATGCACCAGATAAGGAATTTTCACAGTACCATGAATTTTCTTTTGGCAACTGCAGGTCTTATCAACCAAGTACCTTGCAAATACAAAGTAAGTTTTACAATGATAAAGGGAAAGATAAGTGTTATTATCTATATGCTATGGAAAAGGATCTAAATATACAGTGCCACCAATTTTGTGTGCTTCTATAGTCATTTGTGTAAAATGGGACACAGCTAGATTTTTGTGATGTTCCAAGCACTGAACATTCTCAGAGAGAGCTGAAAAAAGTCAGAACCACTGACAGGGCCATCCATCCCATGACCTTGGGGAGGCAAATCTGTCAATTCTGATCTCCTGCACTGTTGTGTCGTATGCATTCTCTGCTAAAACATGTATGGTTTTGTGTGACTTGTCCTTTTAAACTTATTTGTCTCTAGATAATACAGTGCACTCAGGTGAGGCTGGAAACTGAAGGAATTGGGACTAAATTACTGCTTTTTCAACACGGAGTATAAATTGTGGAAAGGTGAGAATCTTGGCATTGAGAGTGTGAGGAATATCTTACTCCATGTAATAACAAGCATGGGAAGCAGTTTGTCCACTTCCAGTATCTGACAGTCTCTTGCTTTCTCTTTAATCCACCTTTCTCTAGATCACATTTCTGAAGCCCTGCAAGCTCTTCACTCTTCAAGATCCATCTCACAATGCCAAGGCTGGCTGATGGAGTAAAGCAAAACTTTTTCCTTTAGCAGCTATATTTCTCTTACTGTGTTCTTTTTTTTCCCCTTTTCCCCATGGGAAAGAATCTATGTGATGAATATTTTTCAGACATCTCTTATGGCTGTGTCTAAGGGAGAAAGGAAGAAGGAATAAAACAGACAAAATATGAAAACTTTTGCAAAGACAAAACCAAGAGGGTACTTATTACACTAAAAATGTTACACTAAAAAGGATGAACAGAAGGATAACTCTGGAACAACTTGCTGGTATGGCTGTCTCCTTGATGTTGGATGTTACTAATTTATGGAAGTTTTTATGGGATCAGAATACAAAATATTTCTCATATTTTGTCTATTTCTATTAAATTGTCAGGTCAAAATTGTCAGGGTTTATAATGTAATTTCTAAATGGTTTAATTTCATTATATATACCATAGTGTCATCTATAAAAACTACTGAAATATATAAAACACATAAAATCTTTGTCTGAATAGGCAGTTGAAAGCTGCATTTTAAAGCTTATCTATCCTGTTTCCTTATCAGAAGGAAAGCTTCTAATTTATTGTTCTTTTCATTACTTACATAGCATTCTGTCACATATTGACTCAAATCAGCAAATTCTTATACAATGTAACTCTGCATAAAGTGGGAGAAAAGGAGAGAGAAGACTGCAAAGGTTTTGTCAATATGTGATGAAACCAAAAGTCTTCTCATAAAGCTGATATTAAACTATTTTGGGTTTTAGATGTACATAATATTATGCAGTCAAAATGAAGGTGCCTTTTCCCATATTGCACTGTTATTGACATAAATAAAATTTATGTGCAATATTTTATTTAATTTCATAAAACTAATCCAACAGAAAAACTGCATAATTTTGTATGGCAACATAACTTTGTATTCATGGCTGATTTTTTCCCCTTTACACAGAAAAATAATGTGGGTTGATGCAGTGTCCTAACACAATAGGGGCTAATGAATAGAGCTTGCTGTGCTCAAGAGACTGCAGTTCAATTACTAGTGGTGCCAATCAAGTCAGAAATATTAACCATGGTAACAGCAGTTTTGAGTTACATGGAATGAGGCCGTGGCTTCTTGGGGAAGATCGCCTCTTGGGAGGGATGGGAATATTCACAGTAAGAACTGCAGAAGGTCAGAGACTGCTTCTTTATGGCAAAGGAGAGCAAGACAGCTCATGCCACAGGAAGGTTTCTGCTGTTTTGTACCTTTTAATTGCAAGTGCATCTGAGAGTTCATAACACGTAAGTGTGACTAACTATGTGATCCATGCATAACCTATAGAATTGGACTTCCTATGTATAAGTGTACAGCAATTAGTTAATCATGTGAAAGATAAATTATAAATCAGATTAGGTCCTAAGTAGGAGTAAAATGTTGCTGAAGTCAGTGTGACTAGGCTGAATTACACCAATCAATTCTGTAGCCTTTTATGAGGATTTATTTAATATAGTGCATTTGTTCTGCTGGCTGGTGATCAGAGTGAGGATCCCTTGATGTGATACAATGGCAGTGTTATGTATTAGTAGCATGAACAGGAAGCAGCTGGCATCCTGTTCAGAAAACAATCTCAGTTTTTATTGCAGAGAAGAATATTGGAAAACAGTGTGTGTGTGATAGGCCTAATCCTTAAAAATGTGTGAGTTTGGATACTGTCCCTTTTAATTAACTAGTCACTTCTGGACTAAATCTAGATTTGTTTCTTGTCACAGAAAGATCTTCTGCTGTTTGTCCTTTGGAATATAGAGAAAACCAGCTAGAGCCCCAAAATGGCTTTTTTTGCACCTGCCTTCTGCCTCTCTGTCTCTTCCAGCTGGTGAGTGTGCTCAGTTGTGGAGTGTTTTTCCCCTTCTCTTATTCATGAAGACATGGCATGTATCTTAGGTCAGCATCACTGAAACATTTTCTATTATTTGTCTTGGATGCCATTAAAAAACAGCTGTTAAGGATGGTTACTGTGTTGTTGGAACTTAGTCTTTGTTAACTGAAACTTCTGGAAAAATTTAGTATGGTTTTCTTAAGTGTTGAAGAGTAATAGCAGCCTATAAATGAATTTGAATCTGACTGCAAAGTGGTGAAAATAGTGAGTATTTGATACCTTTTCTGAAGATTTTGGAACATGCAGAAACTATCATGACGTCTCTGTAGGGTAAACAGGTGTTGTATGTGGACAGGACAGTGGGATTATAGAGGTTTCTCTTGAGTAGTTCAGGCATCTCAAATGAAGCCATCCTAGTTCAGTTTCACCATTATAGGACATTCTTTTAGTCAAACACGACAGTCTGGAGGGTTGTTTCACCACAACCATCTTAAAACATATCTCAGATTAAGAGGAAGAAATGTCTCCAGAAATGGAGCTTAGGGGCAATTTGTCAATGCATGTTTGGGCTCTAAAGCCAGCTGACACGAAGTGGCTTGATGAATGTGTCTGACAACGTAGGAAAACTGGCAGCAAAAGAAGTGAGGGCAGGCAAGGCTTTGTAGTAACTGAGTCTGTGTTTGGCTAACAGGAGGTTGAATTTTAATTCCACTTTTAACCTACTGTCTATTTGACCTGAGATAGGGTCATTTTCCATTATTATCTCCTTTTTACCCCTCTTCTTCCTCCATGCTTAGTCTGTTTTAAGTATTGATCATTTATTTATTCAGTGTGGGAGACATTCCTTCTTTTTTCCTAGTGAAGACTGAATCCTGGTGTCTTACTCATAGTAAAAAATGTGAGACATCTGGTTAGGATGTCCTGGCAAAAATGCTCTTAAGTCATTACTGTTTCAATTGCATTAATGACTTTATCAGTGGAAGAGGAAGAGAAGCCACTTTCATGTTTCTTAGAGCAATGCCCTGACCACTGAGCTAAACTGTGATTTACTTGCTGGATTGATAAATAACCAATTAATGTGAGACATCACCAGAAACAGATTAGGAGGAGGTTAGTGTTTAGATCGACTGGCAATCTCTTGTTAAGGCATTTGCTTGAAAGAATGAAAGATTTTAACATAATATTCAGGTTGTGTTATGACTGGTTCAGAACAGTGCCCGAGGCTAAGGTAGTCTACAGGCTCAGAAGCCATCAGGCTACTGGGCTATTTTCTAGTCAACTCAAGGAATATCAAAATAACAGTAGAGAGTGTCTGAATAGTCTAAATGCCCAGTTCAATGTCTTTGGAAATTCTCTGGAGAAAAGTGATTTGGGTTAAAATTGTGTTTAGTGAAGGACAGAATGGAACCAGTCCCATGAGTGAGCAGAGCCCTAATAACTGGAATAGAGTAAGTAACCAGAGTGATAGTTAACAACATTATCAGCATCTAGCTCTCAAACCCTAATTGTACTTGTTCAGTGTAAATCCAGAAATAATTTCAGGATTCCTGAAATTATACTTCTTGGCAAATGCTGTATATTATTTCACCTAATCTTGATTTGTCATATAATCATCCCACAGCACTTATCGAGTTCCTCATAATGGCTGCTTTAGTAGGCAATATGTGAAAATACAGGAAACAAAAATTTGGAAACTATGTACCCTAAATTGCATCCTTGGCTCTATTTGTTTCTGTGGAACACTCTGCATTATCTAAGATCTTCATTCCTTTAATTTCTATTTTACTTCTTCTCTAATGAATCTTTATCAGATAATCCCAGCCATTTTGGCAGTATTCTCCACAGTAAAAGTTGTTAATTAGCAAATTAAAAGGCACCATCTCAATTTTAAATTTTTTTTCTCCAAAAAATTACAGTTAAAATAACCGTTTTTTTGGAACCCTTCCCCCTCCTCTCAGTCCAACTGTAGGAAAGGAAATCTGTTTAGTCCTTACTCTTATACTTTCTTGATTCACCTGTAATCAGGTGGTTGCTCTTGGGAATTTAGGGAAAAAACAGTTCAGCATGGCAGATGAAAGTTACAAACGAAGTTTTATGCAATGTTTTAGGATGAATGAGACTCCACTTTTAGTGTCCCTCACTATTGCCTCTCCTCAGCTCCTGTCTGCCATATGAAGAAAAGTGCTAGCAAAGTATTTGTGCTAGAATATGGATTTAATAACAGGGTAACTGTTATTTCTGACCTTACAGAGAAAGTTAGTTGAATGATATTCAGGCCAGATCTACAATCAACTTTTTTATTAACAATATTGCCCTCTTAATACTCCCTCAATATTGCAGGGAAGGAAATATCTCCATAACAAGCAAAAAAATCTCAACAGGCCAACCAAACAAAAACTGAGGGCCTTGAGTCTATTAAATCTCATAAATTGTTTAACGTATATTTTATTTTTTCTTATTTAGAAAAAGTTAGGACAATAGTTTCTCTTCAGAAAATGTTTGCTATCAAATAATATGAACTAGTCAGTTATTTCCTTGCTGAAAACACAATTCATGATGTGCGATATGATCTTGATGGTCCTTTCAAATGATTGCAGGTTACAAGATATCAATAGTGCACTTCCTTGTAAAAGATACTTTAGCTTCAATATGAGGTTTATCACTGCCTTGTGTCTGAGTAATCACTGGCAATAGTCAGGCCAGAATGATAGCAATGCTGTGCTTGGTTGAAATACACATGATGTTCCCATGTATGGAGCAAAGTTATTCTTTTAACAGGTGAAAGTGAATTCTGTGGTATAAACAAAAGAACCCCAAGAGCTTCACAGAGGTGATACACCATAAGCTAAGAGGCTGGTGAGCCTGGCCCTCAGATGGCATAAAAATGAAAGAATTACTGTCTCAAATCAGCATAAGGAGCTGAAGTGAGGCAGAGGCAGATTAGAAGAATGTGGAAATGGGAATTGCCTTACTGCTGTGACAGTAATTTACCTGCACTGCAGCAATCTTATGAAAATAGGATGTCAGCAGCCCATGTGATTGAAGATGCATGTCTCTACAAGGGCAAAGCACAATGTCTGCTTGAGGCAGGAGTGGGAGAAACTATGAGCTGCCTATGTCTTACCACATGAATTTCAGCTGAAAGGCTTTCTGCTCCAGAAGAAGCTCCTTGTTTTAGAAGACTTCTTATTTTCTTGTGTCTCTAGCTGAGTGGCTGTGGAGGTGACATAGACTTTATGTCCAGCCTGGTGCAGAGAAACTGGGAAACAGAGAGTTGACACTGTAGCCCAGAGGAGGAAAATTCTATAGCGGACAAGGAACAGCCAATGCATATGAAGGAGATAGCAAATGATTCCATTACCAAGGTAATCATATACATTAACACAAGTTTCAACACCATAGTCTTTCCTATTTAATAGCTAAGAATGGAATGGAAGATAATTATCTGATTCACTTCAGGGCAGTGAATTAGATTATGGAGAGTAAGCTCAGAGCAAAGAGTTAGTGCAATCAGACATCCGTGTGCATGAAAATTTTTCTGAAGCAGAATGTAACCTTGTTAGCAAAGAGAAGATTCCTTGGTGCTATTATCCTGCTGAACATGAAGAGTTATCCAGGATGTTATTTTGTTATGTTCTTGTCTAGTTGTTGATCTTTCCAAAGAGACAGAGCCACAATCTAGGCCTTGAACAACTCAAGAAGTGTGGTTTGAAGAATTGTGGAGGTGCATAAATACGTTGTAATAAACTGATGTAAATGGCAAGGGAATGATTCCATTTTTAGAAAAGAAATGTGACTGCCATTATTATTGTTTGTTTAAGAGTCCTGCAGTTTCTTCACAATTTGTACAGATGTGTTCAATTTCAGCCATTTGCCCTGTCAGTTTTTCTGATACATGGTACATCATTTTCTTTAAGATGCCTAAGTGGTGATGATTAGTGGTGTGTGATGAATGAACAAGGAAACTTTACTTTAAAAGGAAGAATTTTCTATGTGTTCTGTATGTGAAAGTAAAATGTAGGCTCTTCATTGTAAATTATATGTTGCTGTAGCTCCTGCTTCATGTTATGTTGAAACACCACAGCCCAAACAACATTGAACATGTGCAATGGCTGTAAGATGTTAAAGTAAAAGCAGAGAGCCATATATCAGAGTGTCAACATCCTTAACATCCAGTCACTTAATCCCTAGCAGCCTCTGGTACAAGTTGGATTACCCTGGAAGTACGTGTGCAGGCTCTCACTTTAAGCAGGGTGTCCATGTAAGTATGAGCTTTCTGATGTAAAAACAGAAAGCAAACTGTATTTTAAAAGCATTAGCACTGACGTTGGAATGCTTTGGCTCATTTGGTTTACTGAGTTTAAAATTATGGCTGTTGAAATGTTTGACGTCTCTTAGTGACTCTGCAAAGGAAGAGTAAAGCACGATGTGCTCTTATTTTCATGTCTTCCATGGTGCAAGGACCTGGATGAAGAGCAGCTAATCGCTGACCTGCTGAGGCTGGAATATCAGGTTAGAGGGACTTTGAAATTAACTTCTCAGCCAATTCAACAGAGCTGATCTAGGAATGCAATGGCTGCTAGATGCACGTGCTTAGCAATGCCTCATTTCCATTCTGAAAGGTCTGAGAACAACTATAGCTTGTAGGTGACTTTAGTGGTGATGCAGCTGTAGGTAAACACTGAAATCTTTCTATATTATGTCTCTGGAAAAGCAAGAGTGACCTGTACTATGGATAAATGAAGAGAGAAGACGGACTTTGACAGGCTATATCCACTAATGGAAGGTGGATAAATTCCATCAAAAATTCTGAAGATCCATACTGGACTCCTATCCCTTTCCTTGGTTTGCTTTGCCTTTGATTTCCTTTCTATTCAGAAATGAAGCAATATAACAGAGGACGGAATCACCAGATCTACTGGAGTAACAAAATCAGAGCAAAAGACCTACCTCTATGTACAGTGCTGGACTATAGTCTTTTCAATGAAACAAGGCCG